AAGATAAGAATAAAAAATGAGGAAATAGTCCATTAAGAAAAAAGGCGGGCATTTTATTTGTACTTCTAATTTGTACTCTCGAAGTAACTGTACACAAAAAAACTCTGCCTCTCATAGTCATTTTGCTGAATATTACTGGATATAAGCTGAAAGAATGACACATAGGAAAGGATGGAAAATAAACTATAAACATAACTGATTTTGAAAACCAATGAAAAAATACAAAGAAAGATAAAAGCAGCCACTATACTTCAAAAATGTTCTGTATAATGGCAGCTTTCAACAATTTTGAATATGCGTACATAAATTCATTAAGAAACACTATATTGCATATGTCCCAGTTATGTGACATATTTATCATAGACAACACTATATTCTAAAATAGAAACTACTGCCTTCGACTGAATTTACACATAAAAATAAACACCTTTAACTGACAATACAAGCCTGACTTATCAAAATCTACAGTTCCTATCAACAAGATGTCAATGACCTTAGAACTAATAAACTGTTCTCTATCTATATATATGAATCTCACCTTTATCTGACTTTTCATCCACAGAATATTTAAAAAACTTCTGTCGCTCTTCAGCTTGATTCCACAGGCTAAGACCTCTAAGGAGTTCTGCAGTATCCTTCTGAGAGCAGTGTTGTGCAATCACTTTCTTTTTAATATCCTTAAGTTCTTCATAGGTAAAATATTCCATTAACATGGGCTGAAAAACCTAAATTAAACAAAATATCCATAAGGAAAGGTGCTTCATTAGTTTTGTTTGACTCTACACTTTTTAAATTATTATGGCTCAAGTGTAGTATTATGACCATATATCTCAGATAGAAATTTTAGTTGTTATCACTGAGTTAATTTATCTAAAAATTGCAGAGAAGAATATCACAAAAAGATCTTTCTTGCTAAGATTTCTCCAGCTAATAAGTTAATCCCTAAACAATTTTAAAGCATCAGGATCAGAAGGTTTTTCCCTCACAGAGCTTGTCAAACACTCCTAATCATTCTCTTATTGTTAGATATTTAGATCAGTTAATTGCCTTCTGGTACTACAGTAACTGAACTCTACCCAAACCAGGCCTCTACCTCAAATGAGACTGGTACCCAGTATACTGGAATATGAAAGGCAGAGCTCTACTGAAACCCTGAACTATTCACTAGTGTTTCTGGATTTTGAAGATGTTTCTTCAAATCATTATTTTAATACAGTGGTACTATGAGAATTATCTATGGAGATTTCTTCTGTAAAACAGATGCTTAAGTTTCAACCTCCGATTTATAGAATTAGAATCTTTAGAAGCAGAACCAAGGCTTTTTATGGTTCTACAGATAATTCTGATGGGCATCACAGATTAAGAAACACTGCTCTAGTAACTCAGTGATTTTAGTGTTTGCTGTTTATTACAATGAGTTGGAAGGCCTTAAAAAAATACCCATGCCAATACCTCCCACCAGAATTAATTTTGGTTTGATTGGTCTGGACAGGGCTTAAGAAGTAGGGTTTCTTTTATTAATACCAATCTGATTATAAGGTGAAGTTACAGCTGAAAATTGCTGTAGTAACTGATTTACAGCTGAACAGGTGTCCAGTTCCTCATAAAACAATTTCTCTATTTCCTACCCTGTCGTTCATCTCATGTTAGAAAAAGAAGATAAAGGGAAAATGTTTTGCCCATACATTCAGTGATATCCCAATATAAGTGTATTAGGCATGAGACTTAAAGCCACCATTTAATTACTAAAGTTTATGACTGAAAAACACTAAAAACTCTTTAAACTTAGCATGAAAATACAAAAAATATTAAAAAGTTTAAAGAATCCTCTAAAGATTCTGAAAAGACATCAGGGCAACATAAAAAGTTATTAACATTTAACACAGTGCCACTTACGGATAAGAAAATAAATATTTCTTAAATATACAAATCCAATCATTTATTTAATGAAAAGCAACAACCTTTCTGAAGGAATAAAACTAATGTTTTTTTCTTTAGTTTTTCTTCAGTTCCCAAAAGGAAATGAGGGCTTCTCTCCATCAACCAGATATATCTTCCTATACATTGTTTTGAAGAGCCTCTAAGGCAAAATAGTATTTTAAGAGTTTTATTACTCTAGCCTGGGCATGGTGGCTCACACCTGTAATCCTGGCACTCTGGGAGGCTGAGGCGGGAGGATTGATCAAAGTCAGGAGTTCAAGACCACCCTGAGCAAGAGCGAGACCCTGTCTGTACTAAAAATAGAAAGAAATTAGCTGGACAACTAAAAACATATACAAAAAATTAGCCAGGCATGGTGGCGCATGCCT